AAATCAGCTGACAGTCGTATGGGTATTCCCTTGTAGGTAACTGAGTTTCTTTCTCTTGCTGCTTTTAAGATTCTCTCTTTGTCTTGTGCTCTTGGTATTTTAATTATGATGAGTCTTGGTGTGGTCCTCTTTGGATTCCTTTTGTTTGGAGTTCTCTGCGCTTCCTGGACTTGTAAGTCTATTTCTTTCACCAGGTAGGGGACGTTTTCTGTCATTATTTCTTCAAATAGGTTTTCAGTATCTTGCTTTCTCTTCTTCTGGCACCCCCATAATTCTGATGTTGGTACGCTTGAAGTTGTCCCAGAGGCTCCTTACACTATCTTCATATTTTTGGATTCTTTTTTGGACTGGGCTACTTATTGAAGCTAACCTTAAAATCTGGCTTTGAGTTTCCTGTATTCAGGAAAATGGGGGAAATGTTATAATGCCAAATAAAAGGAAAAATATTTTATCTGGGAGAGAGTCCTCTTCTAGCAGTGAATTCTATTAAGATTTTATTACTTACATCTCTATATTTAAACAACATTGGCTAACATAACATATGGGCTTCTCACTAGGTCTGAAGGTATAGAAACATTAAATGAATCTTAATGCAATTAGTCTTTTGTAGGACAATATAAAGCATGATATAGTATATTGCTTTCTCAATAAAAATTTTACAAATTCTCTATTCTCTCAACATATCAGACATGTAGAACCATATTAAAGACTTAAGGTGTAAGACAATATACAACATTTTAACCAGAATTTGTTTTTCTATAATTTAGATTTTTATAGAAAAATAGTATACTTACTTCTTTTAATACCTCCTCAGAATGTTCAAAAGTACAGTATTTATGGTGTGCCATAAAATAAGAAAGTGACATTCCATCAAAATAGAGATGCACAGATAATTTCCCCCAGGGATTTTCCGGCAATTCCTATTTAAATTAAATAAAAAGATTATTACTATAAAAATAAAGTCTGTTTGCAGATTACAATTTTGTATTCAGCAAGAATGAAATTAGATTTCTGAAAATCACAGTATTACCAGTTTGACTAATTTCATAACATTTTCTTAATGGCATTTTGGCAAGTTATGAGGCAGTAATTATATTATTTTGGTTTTTGTAAAATATATTCACATGTCAATAAGGTAGAGTGTTTTATACTTATTTACTGGAAAATAATTTGCTACATATAATTTACTACCCCTCATTTTTAGAGGATACCAATAACTATACCAAGTAGAAGGAGAAAGAAAAGTTATTTTCAGGTGTAAAAAAGTGAAGTTTAGTTAAAATTTCAAGAATGGCAGAAATGGAAGAGATTAATAGCAGTCTAGAAGGAGTCATGATAATGGCTCTTCAATCCCTGGACTATGATCAGGTACTGAGCATACACATACTCACCAGCTGATCTGTCCCATTTACCACCTAAGTCCAAAGTCAGGTCTCTACTGAGTTTCTATAATTGCCTGCCAGCAGAACTCCCTGCTTCTATCTTTTTCTACTATCCAGTTTCTATCAGGGCAGAATGAAAACACTAGAATATAAGATCAGAGCATGTCACTCCCTTACTCAAAACTTCAACTGGCTCCCCAGGTCAGCCTGACAGCAGAGGTCTCACAAGTCTCCTCCTGTCTCCACTTCTTCTCTGTCTTATTCCTCCTGTTCCAGCCACAGAGGGTCCTTGGCCGTCCTTGAACACTCTAGGTGTGCTTTTGTCTTGGAGCCCTTTGCACTATTCTCCCAGCATCCACATAGCTTGTGCTCATTCTAAAGTCTTTACTTGAGTTTTACCTTTGCAGTGATGTCTTCCCTGACCACTATATTTAAAAATGTGACTTCCTCCCTGGCCTCACCTCTGTCATCCTTTCTTGCTTTATTTTTCTCCCCAGCACTTGTCACTACCTAACATACCTTATATTTTACTAGAGGCCTGATGCACAAAAATTCGTGCAAGAGTAGGCCTTCCTGCCCCCGGCTGCCAGCACTGGCTTTCCTCTGGCACCCAGGACCCAGGCTTCCCTCCTCTGGCCGCCGGCAGGCACCTGGGACCTGGGCTGGCTTTCCCCAGGACCCGGTTTCATCAGGAAGGACATCTGGAATGATTTCTGGGATAATTAGCATATTATCCTTTTATTATTATAGACCAGTGGCCCGGTGCACGAAATTCGTGCACGGTGGGGGGAAGGGGAGAATCCCTCAGCCCAGCCTGCACCCTCTCCAATCAAGGACCCCTTGGGGGATGTATGACCACCTGTTTAGGCCCGATCCCACAGTCGTAAATCCCTCTCACAATATGGGATTGCTGGTTCCTAACTGCTCACCCGCCTGCCTGCCTGATCGCCTGTAACTGTCTCTGCCTGCCTGTCTGATTGCCCCTAACCCCTCTGCCCGCTTGCCTGATCGCCACTAACCTCTCTGCATGCCTGCCTGATCGCCCCCAGCTGTCCTCCCCTGTCAGCCTGATCTCTCCCGCAACTGCCTCTGCCTGCATGATCACCCCTAACTGCCCTCCCCTGCCGACCTGATCTCGCCCCCAAGTGCCCTCCCCTGCTGGACTGATTGCCCCCAGCTGCCCTCCCCTGCCAGTCTGGTTGCCCCCAAATGCCCTTCCCTGCCGGCCTGATCTTGCCCCCAACTGCCTCTGCCTGCCTCAATGCCCCTAACTGCCCTTCCCTGCCCTCCCCTGCCAGTCTGGTTGCCCCCAACTACCCTCCCCTGCTGGCCTGATCTCACCCCCAACTGCCCTCCCCTGCCGGCCTTATTCACCCTTAACTGCCTCTGCCTCGCCCCTCACCACCATGGGTTTGTCCGGAAGGAAGTCGGACGTCCAGAAGATGGCCGGTTGACCCGGTCTAATTAGCATATTACCCTTTTATTAGTATAGATAGATTATATAGGATAGGATTGCTTAAATGGGGAGGAAAAGCCTTTTTCATCAGGAGGAGATGCTCTTGGCAGACAAAAACACATAATCTCTATATCTGGACTGATAGCCACCCATATGCACTATACTGCCAAAGCGGTCATTAAAAAATTGAACCACTTTCTTATACCTTAAACCAAATAGCTGTTGCCCCTATAACCCCTCCTCAGTCACCACCTTAGGTTCTGCCTTCATAGTTCATCCAGATTAGGTTCTGATTGGTCAGTTTCTATGCCAGTCAGCATCAAAAGCTCTGCCTCCTAGGCAGCTATTGGCTCCTCGTACTTCACCCAGATTAGGTTCTGATTGGTGGTTTCTATGACAGTCAGTGTCAAAAGCTCTGCCTCCTAGGCAGCCATTGGCTCCTGGCATTTCACCCAGATTTGGTTCTGATTGGTTGGTTTCTATGCCAGTCAGTGTCTCTGGGCCTATCTCTGGGCCTGATCAAAGAGGCGGGGCTGATCAGCAGCCCCTCGGAGGCCCAGAGGGAAACAGAGGTGTGGCTGCTGGTGAAGCCGAGAGAGAAAGAGAGGCAACGGCTGATCAACAGCTGCCACTGAGGCTGCAGATCAGACCCTGTTTCTCTCTCTGCAGGCCTCTCTCCAGGCCAAATCTGCAGCCTCCTCGGCAGTGCTGGGTCATTGCTCTGGCACCCGCTGCAGTCAGTGCTGGGTCGCCACGGCAACCCAGCACTGACTTCCGGTGTTAGGTAGAGCCGTCAGTCCTACAGACCCTGGCTCTTTATATATATAGATGTTTTTAATTTTGTTTCCCACCACTAAAATGAAAGCTCCATGAAGGCAGGAATTTCTGACTATTCAGTTCACAGTTGTACCTCTGGGCCTAGAGAAGGTTTGATAGGCAATAAGGGCTGCAGGGCATGCAAATCCATGGTTTCGGAGAAACTGAGCAGTATTTGGTATACAGCAGGTCCTTTAGTTAAAACATTAATAAGATGCCTAGAAACTTAACTCTTCATTTCGCTTAAAGTCACAGAACTTATTAATGATGTGAAGTGAGGACTTACTGTACTACAAGTTGTTCTCCTATGTTAAACCATGTAGCAAAGAAAGCTACCTTGATAAACTCAAGTCCCACAGAGTCTATAAGTAACCAGAGGGGCTCTGGGTACTAACACAAGCAACACTAAAAGCTTCTCTACTTTCTCATTCAAGCGGGTCTGTGGCTATTCTTAAGTCTTTATCATCCTACTAGAGGCCTCGTGCACAAAACTCTGTGCACTCGGGGGTGGGGGGGGGTCCCTCAGCCAGGCCTGTGCCCTCTCAAAGTCTGGGACCCCTCAGGAGATAACAACCTGCTGGCTTAGGCCTGCTCCCGGGTGGCAGAGGGCAGGCCCAATCCCTAGGTGCAGCCCCTGGTCGGCTCAGAGCAGGGCCGATTGGGGAAGTGGGGCGCTGCCCCCCTCTCATGCACAGAGCAGGGCGGATTGGGAGGTTGTGATGCCACCCTCAGTCACGCTCAGGGTAGAGCCGATTGGGGGGTTGGGGCACCGCCCCCTGTCACACTCAAGGCAGGGTTGATGGGGAGGTTGTGGCGCCACCCAGTCATGCACAGAGCAGGGCCAATCAGGGGGTTGGGGCGCCGCCACTCTCACACTCAGGGCAGGGCTGATGGGGAGGTTATGGCTCTACCCCGTCACACACAGAGCAGGGCATGTGGGGGAGGGGGGGTTTGGGGTGCCGCACCCTGTTACACACAGAGCAGGGCCGATCAGGGGGTTTGGGCGCTGCCCCAGTCACGCTGATCCCAGTGCCTGGAGGCCTCACGGCTCTGTGGATCCCGGTGCTGGGAGGCATATTACCCTTTTACTATATAGCATAGAGGCCTGGTGCACGGGTGGGGCTGGCTGGGTTGCCCTGAAGGGTGTCCCGGATCAGGGTGGGGGTCCCCACTGGGTGCCTGGCCAGTCTGGGTGAGGGGCTGAGGGCTGTTTACAGGCTGTCGGGGGACGGAAGCTCCCAACCGCTCCTATTCTGGGCCAGCTTTAGCTGTAGCTCCAGCTCTGCGGCCTCTGCTGCTGGGAAAACGGAAACCCTCGGGCCCAGACTTGTTTGTGTTCTACAATCGAAACTCTGTATCAACTCCAGCTCTGAGATCCTGGCTCGCTGAAAGCAGGTTTCTGGAGGTTTTTTTTAGCTTCTATATGTTACTATGTTTCAAACTGCCCGCTCAGAGGCCTGCAGTGGCAGGCGGGGAACGTTGGGAGTCCTCCGTCACTGAAGCAAGCAAGCCTCATGTTCAGTTTAAGCTGCCTGGCTGCCAGTTGCCATCTTGGCTATCAGTTAATTTGCATATCTTGCTGATTAGCCAATGGGAAGGGTAGCGGTCGTACGCCAATTACCATGTTTCTCTTTTATTACTGTAGATCATCATAGATTTCATACAGAAATACTCTCCTTACAGTTTTGTATATTTCTACTGGAATCCTTAAACATAGCTGCAGATTAATCTTCTTACCTCACTGCTTAGAAACCTCTGATGGGGCTCCACCGATTGACCTCTACCTTTCTTAAATCCTATTCACCACTACTTTTTCTCATGAAACCTCTATTCTTCTAGCCAAACAGTTATACTCCTTCTTAAAAATGTGCCATGTCCATTTGTCTCTCTATGCTTCATGGTGGATTCCATTTCCCTGGTCAGGAGAACTTTCTTATCTTTTCTTCAATGGCTACCTCAGTTCTCAACATCACTAAGTCCCTATGTACTTACTCATTTTATCAGCCAAGTGACTTTGTAGTATACAGCTCCTGGGCTTAGATCTGGTGTCTAGTTGTTTCCCTGACTGGAGAAGGTCTTTGAGCATAGGGTTTTACCTGTACCTAGCACAGTGTTCCATGAGTAGCACTGTCCTGAAAACTACCATGTGTATTTTTAAATGCCTCTCATTCTTTGATACTGCTCCCCGTTATCAAAATAAGTTGTTAACATGGAATCTTCCAAATTACCGATTCTAATGCTTATAAAAGTTCTCAGAAACCAAAGTAGTAACTTCTTTATATTAATGAGTAATTTACATTCACATAGGAACATCGTTCAACATAAAAAGATCCCTCAAATGATGTTACATGTAACACCTTATGGCAAATAATTTAAATCGATATATGCTTTAAGTACAATTACCATAATGTGAATTTCCACCTCTCTCTTTGAAAGCAGTTCCTGAAGGAGTTCTATTGCATCTGGTTGCCAGACACTACCAACCTATTTGGGAGAAATAAACTGATTTTTCACACGTTCACAAAATAATTCATGAAGTAAATGAAGATACATCAAAAGTAGCAATAAACACATACCATTAGAGAATAGTACAAAATATATAAGCAGTTTTCAGAGAATATCATGGGTGTATGATAGAAATGATCTTAGGAAACTAGTATTTGTCTGAGCTTCGACCATCATACTCTTTTAAAGCATTTTATGCTTTAGAAATATGCTTTTGAAAAGGCCAATATACCAATGTGGTGCTTGTACCATATGTATTATAATGCCTACAAGATGTGTTTATTACAGAGCAGTGATTGTTATTTTTCACATGTTAAGAGCAAGGAACGGGAGCTTCTTGCTTTCTGCTAACACCATGCCTGTGAGCCACGTGGAAGTGGACCCTGTACCAGTCAGTCCCTGGAACGATGGCACCTCTAGTGACATCTTGACTACAGAACCACCAGGAACCCTGAGCCAAACCACCCAGCTAAACTACTCCTAATCCCGGACCACAGAAACTGTATGAGAGTTTTTAAAAGTTTACTGTCAATTTAGATCACAAGTTTTAGCTTAGTTTTATATAGCAAAAGATAATTAATATACATTCCTTTATCTGACTTCCAGCTTCAAATCTATTAAAATTTTATTTGATGAAGGAATAGACATTTTTACATGCTTATGCCTTCCCATCTATGAAGATATCATGTCTCTTCATTTATTCAGATGTTTTTATATCCTTCAGTATAATTCTGTAGTTTTCTTCATGAAGTCCCTTTAGCTGTCATATTAAGTATTTTATTATTTTTGTTACAACTGAAAGAGATTTCAAATTACAAGCTAATTTCTAGAAAATTGTTAATAAAAAACAATATTTAAAAATTAATCATGCTACCAATTACTGTTTACTCACAGGTATGGTATGATAGAGCTGACAAGGAATACAAAACTGGGGTGTGTCAGGATATAGCAAAATAGGGTAGAGATGGCATTGTGGGATCTTCTCAGTGAGTCCATGATCTAAATATTGTACCTGAAACAGGACAAATGCACTTTATATTTAAAATTTAGTATTAAAGCCAAGGGACAGAAGAAACTGCTATTGTTCTTTTTTAAAAAGATATATTAAAAAGATATCTAAATCTGGACTTGAAAAATCAGAAAAAAGCAACATCATATCTCCTCATCCCACAGGATATTATTGTCTAAATTTTTCTCTTACACATAAACCAGAGTTCTTGTTTTTTTTAAAAAATATGTTTTTATTGATCTCAGAGAGGAAGGGAGAGGGAGAGAGAGAAACATCAATGATGAGAGCGAATCATTGATTGGCTGCCTCCTGCAGGCCCCCCACTGGGCATGTGCCCTTGACAGGAATCGAACTTGGGACTCTTTCAGTCTGCAGGCTGACATTCCATCCACTGAGCCAAACCAGCTAGGGCTGTTTTTTGTTTTCTTAAACTGGTTCCTACTACATTTACAAATTCCTTGAGAATAATCAATTTTTCAGAATAATTTTTAAATTTTGTTTTGTCTTCCCCCCTAAATATTTTAGAAGTACTATATTACATTTAATAAAGGAGTTTTTCTCAAATTCTCAGTATTTCTCAAACAATTTCACAGTTCGGGAAACTTTCTATGCAATGCTTCCTTCTTGGGTTGTCTTGGCAATCAGCATTTAAAAAAAGACATCACCGAGATGTAAAGTACAGCATAGGAAATACAGTCAGTAATCCTATATTTCAAATTGTCCTAATATGCAAATCGTCCCCTCAGGTGGTTGTTCGACAGGGAGACTGGGAGTTCGACTGCTTGCTATGACATGCACTGACTACCAGGGGGCAGTGCAGCGACCTCTTGCTGGCTACCTGGGGACAGAGGTGCGATGAGAATGCGGGGTGTCCACTGAGCTCACTCTCACTCCCTGTTACCCTCCCCCAGGATGCCAGGGCTGGCGCACCAGGGAAGCCCCCTTGCTCAGGTGCCAGGCATCTGCAAAGAGCTCACTCCACACCCGCATGGCCTCTTCTGGAGGGGCCAGGCTGCAGCCACTGGGACCACAGCGGCCAGCTGGACTTCCTGTGGGTTCGCGCAGGAGCCAGTATGCAAGGCCAGCTGGGAGAGAGCGCGCTGCCTGCTTGGTTGCCACGTGGCACTGCTGGGTGGCCCAGAGGCACCCGCGGCATCCAGCCGCACTCACCGCATCTCCACGTGGGGACTCAGGTGCTGTGACACAGGTGGAGAGGGGCGTGCGGGGGTCCGGGGACCCGGGTGTCACCCAGGGCCCAGTGGTCAGCTGGGACCTGCCCTTCCACACCAGACGCTCGTGCTTTGATCGCCAGCCAGGCCTAGGGACTGCACCCATGCATGAATTTCGTGCACTGGGCCTCTAGTATTGTAATAATTAGGTATGGTGCCAGGCGGGTACTAGACTTATCAGGGAGAACACTTTGTAAGTTATATAAATATCTTATCGCTATGTAATACACCTGAAACTAATATAATATTGCATGTCAACTGTAATTCAAGTTTTTTTTAACAAATGAAATAAAGTTGAATAAAAATATGAGTATATTACATGTAGTTAGAGTGAGTATGGTTTCATGTAATGTTTATTTCTTCTTCTTTTGTTGTTAATCCTCACCTGAGGATATTTTTTCCATTGATTTTAAGAGAGAGTGGAAGGCAAAGAGGGAGACAGAGGGAAGGAGAGAAAGAAACATCAATGTGAGAGAGACACACAGACTGGTTGTGCCGCTACTGGGACGGGGATGGAATCTGCAACCCAGGTAAGTACCTGTGACTGGGAATCAAACTCATGACCTTTCGGTGCACAGGCTGACACTTGATAACACCAGCCAGGGTGTAATGTTTATTTCTTAATGTCGACATAGGTTAAACTTTGAAAGATATCAGGTTAAGGAATGAAAGTGTATTGTGTATACTTGAAATGTAAAACGACCACAGAAAAATAAAAGTGATGATTAAAGTATTAAAATACTTTGAAATAAATTTTAAAAACAGAAAAAATAAATTTACCACCATCTTATTTATTTGGATTCCACATATGTAAAATTCATGAATTATAATAAATTAGTAAAAGTGAATTTCAGTTCACTTTTGTATTAAAAAGGGGTTATCTAAACAATTCAAATGTATGTGAAAATGAACTCATGTACATATAAATACATGAATCTGTAAGTATTCATATGCTTAAATACTCACCCCAAATTTGAAACCACTTTATTTCTATTGAAACCATTTAGAGCTTGTAGTCCAGTAGAAAAAGCACAAGATTTAGATCAGAAATTTAGAAATCAGATGCTAAATTTCAATTTTCCTATTAGTAAAATGGAAATAACCTATATCTACAAACATGAATGCACATATGTGAAAGAACCTTATAAAATCAGAAGTGCTATGTAACTGTTAGGTATCATCATCAAATAGATAATAAGCCCCGTGAAAGTAAAAAAGAAATTTTCTTCCCCTCCTAAAATTGAAATTTTAAAGTGCTGAAAGGCTCATGATTTAGTTGCTTTACTTTGTAAATACATTATTAAAATGGAAGTATTCTTATGTGTCTTTTTATATACACATTTTTTTTCAAAGTATACAGCTTATTCTAAATCTGTTGGGTGAAATTCAAATACTGTATCTCAGTATTCTGAAAGTAACCATTATCCTGATAGGGCAAATTAACTGGGCTGTAAATGAATTTGCTAAGGAAATATGTAATGTACTGGAAAGCAAGCTGTTTTTACTTGACATCATGTATACAAACAGAGCTTCCAATGACAAATAAGTGGTACCATTAAAGTACAAGCGGCCAAATCTCTACCTGGAAATATTTTTTGGTTATTCACGTTAATAATTATACTTAAAAAAACACACACAGAAGAAAATAAAAAACAAACAAAAAATAAAAACAAAAATTCTTATGACAAATAAATATGTAATACATTGACCTGTCTTCCTACGGGATTGAACTCATTAAAAAATGTTTTTATCAAATTTTCATGTATTTAGATTTAAAAGAACACTTAATGTTACAGCATTTAAGCTTGAAAATAGTCACAAAAGAATATCAAACTTACCCTGATAGTGCCGCCAACAACTTCGATTACCTTGCCTCTATACCACATAGTATCTGATCCTCTTACTGCACAGGCTTCTCCCTTTTTCCAGAAATAAGGCTCCAAAAGACCAAGGCATTTTAAATTATTTTGAATTTCATTCATCATTTTTATTAGCTCAAATTCTGAAGAAATTATTAAAAATAAAAAGTACTTAGGAAAATTTTTACCACTTTCAAATGAAGTCATCACTAACCTTTAATAATTTTATCATTTAGATATTATAAAGAATTAAAAATCAGTCGCATCTATTAGAGCTTTAATAAAAATCCAATTAAAGCTTATAGTCAGTAGCTTCTATATGTTTCAAAACATACAACTGACTAACAGCATGTAAAGAATTATTCTGGTCTCTAGTCGTAAGCGTAAGCATTCTTCTGGGAGTGCAAGAACTCTGAAAAACTCTAGCTATGTACCAGAGAGCGTAATATAAAGGAACTACTTTATGGTGTTTTTTTGTTAGCACATCTAAGTGAAATAGAACATAGTTATGTGCTACTTGATGCTAAGATACAGCAGAATGCTGGGATATAAATTAAAATTCTAATGCTACTTATTGCTAACTGACCCATTATTTCCAGAGTAAATACATATCCCCATAACTGATAGCATAGAACACAGGCTCTGAAATTAGTTTCCTTAAATAATTCTACCACTTTAGTTGAGTGATCTTGGGTAGTTCCTTTACCCTCAAAATCTGTTTGTTCTTCTGTGAACTGGGTGTAATAGTGCTTATCTGCATTATTAGGATTGTGGGGCAATACATGCAAAGTATGTAGTACACTGCCTGGCACATTATAGTCAAGCAGTTTGAACTATGACTATTTACACATGTCTGGATTAACTTCTAGTGCTAGAGGTCTCAAACATTGTTCACATCTTCTAGAAGGGTTTCTTGGCTCTAGAATAGCCCGCTACACAGATTTATTTGGTTTTCCAAATTAAAAAATAATATTTAGGAGATCAACAAATGAAACAAAAATTTAAAGAAATTCATAGCCACCATCACCTTATCCATAGCCACCATCATCTTGTCCATAGGTAGACTTACTATGGAACTAAAAGAGATTAAGTCATACTAGAGTTGTTGGGAGTTATAGAATATTTTGGACATGACCAGGTTGTAGAAAGGAAGGACTTGTACATAAGCTTAAGAAGATCTCAGAAAAGCTTGAATATTCATTCTCAAAGGGCCCTGAATCTCTAGTCATTTGTGGTAATTTCTTTTCACATTCTAAATGAATATAAAATTTTATATTCTTTTTTCTTAGAGAGCCTCCAAACTTGCATAGGTACCTTTTAAAAGAATTACCCCCCTTAAGATGTGTGGAGGAGAAACCAAGATGGCGGCATAGTTTAACACCTGAAATTGCTGCCTCACACAACCACGTCAAAACTATAATTAAAAGACAAAACGGACATCATCCAGAACTACAGGAAGGCTGGCTGAGTGGAAATTCTACAACTAGAAGGAAAGAGAAAAGCATACTGAGACTCAGAGGAGGTGTAGAAGTAAAGTTCAGAGGTACAGAGGCGCACGTGTGTGTGGAAAGGGCTGGCAACTGAGGATGAGGCTGTCTTTTTCAATCGGGAGGGAGACACAAGCTCCCGACTGCTCTGAACTCCAGTTCCAGGTGAGTCTCTGGGGACCCAGACTCACACGGGGAGAAAATGGACTGTCTGGTATCAGGCGGAACTCGAGGGCGGCTTTATCTCAGAGGTGCTAGCAGCAATTACTGTGGGACACTGAGACCCGGGACCTCTTAGGGCAGGGCTAAGGAGCAGCCACAGCTGTTTGCTCCGCCCTGTTGATTCCGAGACCCCGCCCCACCCAAGCTGTGCGCAGAGGCTTTTGCATATGAATGACCTGGCCCTTTGCAATCTAAAATTACCTAACAAACTGCAGCTGGGTCAGAGAGACCCAGAACTTCCAAAAGAAGGCCCAAGGCCCCACAGCAGCTTGCACTGCTTCACAGCTGGGCCTCATCTGGGCACCTCCAAATCCCAAACAAAGAAGAGGAATCTGCATATCTCTCTGTAGTTCCTGCTGGGTGGCCTCAGGAAGAGGATAAATTAGCACCTCCTTAGAGATCCAAGAGCTAGTGTACCCAGTGGTCAGAGTGGGACCATCCAGATTTCAATTCCTCGGATCCAAAAGGCACACACTCAGGGGGCAGACTCAGTGAGTACCAAAGCCCCACTAAAGCAAGTCTTGCCCCAGAAGGGTGTCTCCAGTACAGAAGCTCTCCCACTGCAAACACAGCTGACTCTCATAGCCAGTTAGCCTGGAGGTCAAATTACCCCCGACAACAATCAAGGCTTAACTACAACAAGACTGCGCACAAAGACCACTAGGGGGTGCA